CGAGGATGTGGAGAAAGGGGAACTCTTCTACAATGTTGGTGGGAATGCAAACTGGCTACTCTGGAAAACAGTATGGAGTTTCCTCAAAATTTAAAAATAGAGCTACCTTAGGACCCAGAAATTGCACTACTGGGTATTTACCCCAAAGATACAGATGTTTTGGTCTGAAGGGGCACCTGTACCCCACCCCAATGTTTATTGCATCAATGTCCACAATAGCCAAACTATGGGAAGAGCCCAGACGTCCATCAATAGATAAATGGATAAGAAAATGTGGTATATAAAATATGTGATCTAGGGCGCCTGGGTGGCTCAGTCGTTAAGCGTCTGCCTTCAGCTCAGGTCATGATCCCAGGGTCCTGGGATCGAGTCCCACATTGGGATCCCTGCTCGGCGGGAAGCCTACTTCTCCCTCTCCCGCTCCCCCTGCTTGTGTTCCTGCTCTCGCTGTCTCTCTCTGTCAAATAAATAAAATCTTTAAAAAAAAATGTGATCTATATATATGTATGTGTGTGTGGAATTTTACTCAGCCATCAGAAAGGATGAATACTTAACATTTACATCCCTGTGGATGGAACTGGAGGGTATTATGTTGAACGAAATAAGTTGTTCAGAGAAAGATAATTATCATATGGTTTCACTCATATGTAGAATATAAGCAACAGTGCAAAGGATCACAGGGGAAGGGAGGGAAAATTGAATGGGAAGTCATCAGAGAGGTAGAAAAACCATGAAAGACTCAACCACTGGAAATAAACTGAGGGTTGCTGGAGGGGAGGTGGTGGGGGGATGGGATATTTTGGTGATGGACATTAAGGAGAGCATGTGATGTGATGAACACTGGGCATTATACACAACTGATGAATTATTGAACTCTACATCTGAAACTGATGATGTGCTTACTATATGTTACTCAATTGAATTTAAATTTAAGAAATAAAAATTAAAAAAATAAATAACTTACTGAATTTCTTGGATGAGTTCCTTGGTTACTCAAAAGAGCCAAGGGAATTTTTCATGTGGAGAACACATGTTCTGATAAACCTTTAGCAACAATTGTGGCCATGGCACTTTTATAAGACAAAATTTCAAGCCAGTGAGAAAACATGTAAGAACATATTATAACCATGAGATTTAGGGAGTGGATATATAATCTGATTGCAAATGAAGAAAGGCTCTCAAACATCTGTATATTAAGACACCATAGGTACATGTTGTGAATCTTCAATTGAAAACCACTGCCCCAGAATATACTGGATTTAAATCAAAGAAATACAGTTGTGACCAAGTAACATTTTTAAAAAGTAATTGACATTATGACTCATAACATTGTTGTCTAACATAAGTCAAAAACATCACCATGACTGGTATGAACAGAAACATGTCATGAACATTGAAAACTTTTTAGGAAGTTTACATATTTTTAAAAATATTCATGTTAACATTCTACCCATACAAATTTAATCTGGGAAAGGTTCATTTATTTGGCAAAGTTCCTCATGCAACTTACATGATATAAAATAAATTTCATTATTTTTAGCACTTTTATTTTTACAAGATGAAAAAACAAATACTTCATAATTTTCTAAAGGTTGTCTAAGAAACTCCAATGACAAATTGAGATTAAAATACATCATTTAAGGGGCATCTGTGTGGCTCAGTTGATTGTGCGTCTGACTCTTGATTTTGGCTCAGGTTATGATCTCAGTGTTGTAAGACTGAGCTGGGCATGGAGCCTGCTTAAGATTCTCTCTCTCCCACTCTCTCTGCTGCCCCCCGCCATTCACATGCACAAACTCTCTCTCTCTCTAAAAAAAAAACCACATCATTCAGGATTTGATTTTGGGAAGACAATATATCAAAATTTGTTAGGAGGTGGGAACAGAGATTTAAATAAGATCATAGGTCACTATGAGAAAAAATATTTGGCTACCTAATTAAACAAGTGACAATAAAATATTTTATAAGTATGTCAGGTAATATAATTGTAAAAAACCACAAAAGAACACAAAAACCTTAGCTTTTAAAAGTGCAAAGACTTGGTTCTCTTAAAGAATCAAAGACCTGATAAAGTTAACACAAAGCACAGAAAATTATTCTGATAGGACATAGAATTGTTGCCTTCTAAGCAGATCACTCAGAAAGTAAAGGAAAAACTTTTATAACATCTTATTAAAAATAAACTAATAATCTACATGTTGGCTAACTGAACATAATAATAATTAAAAAAAAAGAATTTGAAGACTGTATTACCAAAAGGCTTGTCAAATAAAGGATTAAGTTCCCGGCTTCAAACAAACAAACAATAATCCAAGAAAAATGTATAATTTTAACAGATAGAAAACCAAAATTTGGCTTTGGAATAGTATTCTATTTGATAATAAAAGTTACTTTTTTTTTTTGCTTTTAATCTTATAAACAAACCCATCAAATTATATACAGTTTGAACCATGAGTACAAAAATTACTTTTTTATGAAACTTCTACTTTCCATACCATTCAGTTTCTGTTCCTCATTTTCCTCCTTCTTGTTGTGGAACAATAAGTCATTTTACTTTAGGACAACATTACTCTCCTTTTCTTTAATAAAAGCACATCTTTGGGGCGCCTCAGTGGCTCAGTCAGTTAAGCATCATACTCTTGGTTTTGACTCAGGTCATGATCTCAGGGTCCTGGGATAGAGCCCTGCATCAAGATCCACACTCAGTGGGGAATCTGTTTGAGATTCTTTCTCTCTCTCTCCCTTTGCCCCACCCCTGCTCGCTCTCTCTCTCTAAAATAAATAAATAAATCCTTTTAAATCACATCTTGTATAACCTACATATTTAAATTAGCATAAGACTAAGGTTTAAGTTACTAGAAATATCTTGAAAACTGTCCTTAAGCTTATATATTTTTTCTAATTAGTCAATTGTACCTCTTTACTATACCAAATATAGTAAAGATTGGAAAAAATGTGTAAGAAATAAAGGAAGAATAGGTGAAGATTATTTTTTAATTTTTATATTTTATTGAGGTAAAATTGACATACACTGTTATATCAGTTTCAACTAATGAATCAACAATACTATGTATTACTCGGGTCATCAAGAAAATGTACCCTTTTTTTTTAATTTTAGATACAAGTACTCTTAATCCATTTTATCTATTTCACCCATCCCTCCACCTACCTCCTCTCTGGCAAAAAAAAAAAAAACAGTTTATTCTCTGTATTTAAAAGTCTCTGTCTTTTGTTTGTCCTTTTTATATGTTCATTTGTTTGTTTCTTAAATTCCACATGAATGAAATCACATGGTATTTGTCTTTCTCTGACTGACTTATTTCACTTAACATTATACACTCTAGTCTCATCCATGTTGTTGTAAATGATAAGAGATCTCATTTTTTTTTTTTTATGGCTGAGTATCACAAGCCCAGATTTCAAGACATACTACAAAGCTGTAGTAATCAAAACAGAGTAGAAAACCAAGAAACAGACTCTTAACTACAGAAAACAAACTGATGGTTACCAGAAGAGAGATGGGTGGGGGATGGGTTAAGTAGATGATGGGGATTAAGGAGTGCACTTGTTGTAATGAGCACCAGGTGTTGTATGCAGTGTTGAATCACTTGATCACATACCAGAAACTAATATTGCACTGTATGTTAACTAACTGGAATTTAAATAAAAACATTAAAAAAAATCAGCATGGTACTGGCACAAAAATAGACACAAAGATCAATGAAACAGAATAGAGAGCCCAGAAGTAAACTCACACTTATAGGGCCAATTAATCTATGACAAAAATTGCAAGAATATACAGTGGAGCTAAGACACCATCTTCAATAAGTGGTGCTTAGAAAACTGAATAGCTACATTTCAAATGATGAAACTAGACCACCTTTTAACACAATACACAAAAATAAACTCAAAATGGATTACAGACCTAAATGTAAAACCTGAAACCATTAAATTCTTAGAAGAAAACATGAAGTAAGTTCTTTGCCATCAGCTGTAAAAACATTTTTCTAGATATGCCTCCTCAGGCAAAGGGAAACAAAAGGAAAATTAAACTACTGGGACACCAAAATAAAAAGCTTTTGCATAGCAAAGGAATCCATCAACAAAACAAAAGGGCAACCTACTGAATGGGAGAAGTTATTTGCAAATGATATATCTAGTAAGGGGTTAATATCCTAAATATCTAGAAAACTTATACAATTCAACACATACACACACCTCAAGCAATCAAATAATCCAATTAAAATGGGCATGGAACCTGAATAGACAGTTTTCGAAGATGGACATACAAATGCCCATCAGACACATGAAAAGATACTCACCATCACTAATAAGGAAATGGAAATCAAAACCACAATGAGATATCACTTGACACCTGTCAGAATGGCTAAAATAAGAAATGCAAGAACTAAATGTTGATGAGGATGTGTTGAGAAAAGAAGCCTTGTGCACTGTTGGTGGGAATGCAAATTAGTGCAACAATTGTGGAAAACAGATTGGAAGTTCCTCAAAAAATTAAAAATAGAACTACCACATATCCAGTAATTCTAGTACTGGGTATTTACCCAAAGAAAATAAAAACACAAATTCAAAAAGATATATGTACTCTTATGTTTATTGCAGTATTATTTACAATAGCCCAAATTTGGAAGAAACCCTAGTATTCATCAATAGATAAGTGGGTAAAAAAGATGTGGTATATAAATATATATACAGGTGAGGCTTATGTTTAAAAATAAGTTGACATATTATAAAGCATAATTACTGTTGAATAAAGTTTTCAGAATAATGAGACAATTTTGTATAAATGCAGTTACATAAATAATATTAAACATCTAATAGATATGATGCCAGCTTATCTAATCAGTAAATCTACATAAGCTCAAGAAGTACACACTCAAGTAGAATAAAATTGCATTATTGTATTAAACTTGATAACTCAGAAGACATAGATATTTTTATAAAACAACATTATCAGTCTTTTTTTTTTTTGCCGAAGATTTACATAAATCACATGAACCAGCAAACTTAAAAGATCAGCAACTTAATGTAGACTGCTATATGCAGACGAGGTTATATACAAACCTAATGGTAACAATATATCACAACCCACTAATAAACGTGCAAAGAAAAGAGAGAAAGAAATCCAAATATATCACTAAAGAAAATCAGCAGTGAAAGAAAGATAAGAAAGGATCAGAAAAAATCTTCAGAAACGAGCACAAAAAACTAAAATGATAAAATAAATACATATCTTTCAATAATTACTTTGAATGTAAATGGATTAAATGCTCCAGTCAAAGAATATAGGATGAGGGTGCCTGGGTGGCTCCAGCTGGTTAAGCGACTGCCTTTGGCTCCGGTCATGATCCCGGGATCTTGGGATCGAGTCCCGCATCGGGCTCCCCCTGCTCTGCGGGGAGCCTGCTTCTCCCTCTGCCTCTGCCTGCGACTCCCCCGCCTATGTACTCTCTCTCAGTCAAATAAATAAATAAAATCTTAAAAAAAAATAGGGTGACAGAATGGATTAAAAAAAAAAAAACAAGACTCATCTCTATGCTGCCTACAACTCATTTCAGACCTAAGGATACCTGCAGATTGAAAGTGAGGGGATGGAGAAACACCTGTCATGCAAATGGATGTTAAAAGAAAGCTAAGTAGCAAACTTATATCAAACAAAGTAGACTTTATTTTTTAAGTTTTTATTTGAATTCCAGTTAGTTAACATACAATGTAATATTAGTTTCGGGTGTACAATATAGTGATTCAACACTTCCATACAACATTCTGTGATCATCACAACAAGTGCACTCTTTAATCCTGATCACCTATTGAACCTATCCCCCCACCCACCTCCCATCTGGTCACCATCAATTTGCTTTCTAAAGTTAAGAGTATGTTTCTTTGTTTGCCTCTCTCTTTTTGTCCCTTTGCTCATTTGTTTTGTTTCTTAATTGCCACATATCAGTGAAATCAAATGGTATTTGTCTTTCTCTGACTGACTTATTTCACTTAGCATAACAATTTCTAGCTTCATTCATGTACTTGCAAATAGCAAAATTTCATTTTTATATGGCTGAGTAATATTCCATCATATATATATACCACATCTTTATCCATTCATCATTCCATGGACACTTGGGCTATTTCCATAATTTGGCTATTGGAGATAATGCTGCTATAAATATTGGGGTGCATATATCCCTTTGAATTAGTATTTTTGTATTCTTTGAGGAAAATTCCAAGTAGTGCAGTTACTGGATTATAGGGTAGTTCTATTGTTAACTTTTTGAGGAACCTCCATACTATTTACCACAGTGGCTACACAAGTTTGCATTCCCACCAACATTGCAAGAGGGTTTCCCTTTCTCCACTTCCTCACCAATATTGGTTGTTTCTTGTGCTGTTGATTTTAGCCATTTTGACAGGTGTGAGGTGATATGTCCTTGTAGTTTTGATTTGCATTTCCCTGATGATAAGGGGTGTTGAGCATCTTTTCTTGTGTCTGTTGGCCATTTGTATGTCTTCTTTGGAGAAATGCCTGTTGATGTCTTCTGCCCATTTCTTAATTGGGTTATTTGTTTTTTTGGGTGTTGAGTTTTCTAAATTCTTTATATGTTGTAGATACTAGTCCTTTCTTGGATTTGCCATTTGCAAATATCTTTCTGCATCCCATAGGACTGTTTCCAGGATTTAAGCCTCACTGGGTGCAAAAACTCACAAAATTCAGCCCCTCTCATTTTCCCAGCCAGTGGCTATGGGGAAATGTTCTCCTTGTGCATTCCCCTGTGTGCTCCCTTCTCATTCTCTCATCCTTCATTGTGACCACAGCTCCCTCCTCTTTGCAGCATCCACAATCCTTTTCTCAACTAAACCATGTCTCCAAACTTTCTACCTTCTTTGATATGGCCTCTTCTCTCCCTGTGGTTGCTCTGTTATGCTTCAGGCTGATTTCTGGGGTATTTAGGATGACTGATAGTAATCTAGTTGTATTATTGGGACCAGGTGAACCTAGGGTTCTATTCCACCACCATCTTCTTGGGTCAAAGAAAGTAGACCTTAAAACAAAGACTATGAGAAGAGACAAAAAAGAACACTATATAATAATAAAGGGGACAATCCAACAAGAAGATAAAACAATTGTAAATATTTACGCACCCTACATAGGAGCACCAAAATACATAAAACAGTTATAACAAACATAAAGGATCTAATTGATAATTATACAATAATAACAGGGGACTTTAACACCCCACTTACATCAATGGACAGATCATTTAAACAGAAAATCAAGAAGGAAACAATAGCTTTGAATGGCACACTGGACCAGATGGATTTAGCAGATATATTCAGAACATGCCATCCTAAAGCAGCAGAATACACATTCTTTTCAAGTGCATACGGAACATTCTCCAGAACAGATCACATAGTAGCCTACAAAACAAGCCTCAACAAATTCAAGAAAATCATACCACACATCTCCTCTAACCATAAAGCTATGAAACTAGAAGTCAACTACAAGAAAAAGATTGGAAAGAGCACAAATATATGGAGGTTAAAGAACATGCTACTAAACAATGAATGCGTCAACCAGAAAGTCAAAGAAGTAATAAAAAAGTACAAAGAAACAAATGAAAATGAAAACACAATGGTCCAAAACCTTTGGGATGCAGCAAAGGTGGTCCTAAGAGGGAAGTATATAGCAATACAGGCCTATCTCAAGATACAAGAAAAATCTCAAATGAACAACCTACCCTTACACCTAAGGGAATTAGAAAAAGAACAACAAACAAAAGCTAAAACCAGCAGAAGGAAGTAAAAAATAAAGATTAGAGCAGAAATAAATGACATAGACAAGAAAAAAAAACTAATAGAACAGATCAATGGAACTAGGAGCTAGTTTTTTGAAAAAATTAATAAAATTGATAAACCCCTACCCATATTTATCAAAAAGAGAAAGGATTCAGATAAAATCACAAATGAGAGATGAGAAATAACCAACACCACGGAAATACAAACAATTATAAGAGAAATATTATGACAACAAATTGGACCACCTGGAAGAAATTGATAAATTCCTAGAAACATATAAACTACCAAAACTGAAACAGAAAGAAATAGAAAACTTGAGCAGACCTATAACTGGCAACAAAATTGTATCCGTAATAAAAACAAAAACAAAAAAACCTTGCAACAAACCAAAGTCCAGGGCCAGATGGCTTCACAGGTGAATTATACCAAACATTTAAAGAAGAGTTAATACCTATTCTTCTCAAACTATTCCAAAAAACTGAAAAGGAAGGGAAACTTACAAATTCATTCTATGAAGCCAGCATTACCCTGAAACCAAAACCAGATAAACACAACACTAAAAAAGAGAACTACAGGCCAATATCCCAGATGAATATAGATGCAAAAATTATCAATAACATAATAGCAAACTGAATCCAAGAACACATTAAAAAAATCATTCATCACAATGAAGTGGGATTTATTCTTGGTCTGCAAATTCAATATCCACAAATCAATCAACATGATACATACATTAATAAAGGAAAGGATAAGAACCATATGATCATTTCAATAGATGCAGAAAAAGTATTTGACAAAGTTCAACATCCATTCATGTTAAAAACCCTCATCACAGTGGGATTAGAGGGCACATACCTCAACATAACAAGAGCCATGGAAAACCCATGGCTAATATCATCCTCAATGGGGAAAAACTGAGTGTTTCCCCTATAGTCAGGAACAAGACAAGGATGTCCACCCTCACCACTTTTATTTAACGTAGTACTGTAAGTCCTAGCCTCAGCAATCAGACAACAAAAAGAAATAAAAGGCATCCAAGTTGGCAAGGAAGAAGTAAAACTTTCCCTATTTGCAAATGACATGACACTCTATATAGAAAACCTAAAAGATTCCAACAAAAAAACCCAAAAAACAAAAAACAAAAAACAACTGGTAGAACTGATAAATTCAGCAAAGTTGCAGGATACAAAATCAACATACAGAAATCTGTTGCATTTCTATATACCAATAATGAAGTAGCAGAAAGAGAAATTAAAGAATCAATCCCATTTACAATCACACCAAAAACAATAAGATACCTAAGAATAAACCTAACCAAAGAGATGGAAGACCTGTACTCTGAAAATTATTTTCCAGTGGGGGAAAAATTATAAAACACTGATGAAAGAAACTGAAGATGAAGGATAGAAATGGAAAGACATTCCATTCTCATGGATTGGAAGAACAAACATTGTTAAAATGTCTATACTATCCAAGGCAATCTACACATTTAATGTAATCCCTATCAAAATACCAACAGCATTTTTCACAGACCTATAACAAACCATCCCAAATTTGTATGAAACCACAAAAGACCTCAAGTAGCCAAAGCAACCTTGAAAAAGAAAAAGAAAAGCTGGAGGCATCACAATTCTGGACTTCAAGTTATACTACAAAGCCATAGTACTCAAAATAGTATGGTACTGGCACAAAAACAGACATATATATCAATGGAATAGAATAGAAAATACAGAAATGAACCCACAACTGCATGGTCAATTAATCTTCAACAAATCACTGAAGAATATCCAGTGGGAAAAAAGACATTTTCCTCAAATAAGTGGTGTTGGGAAACCTGGACAGCAACATACAAAAGAATGAAACTGGACCACTTTCTTACACTATCACAAAGATAAACTAAAAATGGATTAAAATCTGAATGTGAGACCTTAAACCATAAAAATCCTAGAAGAGAACACAGGCAATAACTTCTTTAACATAGTCAATAGCAACTTCTTTCTAGGTTTCCCTAAGGCAAGGGAAGCAAAAGTAAATATAAACTAGTGGGGCTTCATCAAAATTAAAAGCTTCTGCACAGCAAAGGAAATAATCAACAAAACTAAAATGCAACCTATGGCATGGGAGAAGGTATTTGCAAATGATGTATCTGATAAAGGGTTAGTATTCAAAATATATAAGAAAAACTTACAAAACTGAACACCCTAAAAACTAATAATCCACTTCAAAGGATATTTGAGGTAGAAATAGTTAAAAACACCAACTACCAAGATTATCTGCCATGTTAAATAATCAATGACATCTATTTTGAGCACATTTTGGCATTTCATAGGTCTAAATTTGGAAAACTTTTTACTTTTTACTATCTTCATGAAACTTCTGAAAGCCAGATGGTATTAGATAGATGACCAATGTTGTAATAACATCTATTTGAAATTTTTATATTACTAACTGTAATTGGAAAATACTAGGTGTGTTTCAAAATTGCCATTGTGCTTTTATCCAGATGTTGTCAACCAAAGACACTTAGGAAAAAACAAAACACTTGGCTATAAAACAAAATTAACTTCTTTCTCTGTTGTTGTTTCAATTTTATTTTCTTATTTCCATTTTTGGGAAGAATCCTCAATGATTTTTATAAATCCAGGTACCACTTTAACTTTGACGAATTTTTGCCCCAAAAGAGATCTAAAGTCTTGAAGGACAATCAGGATCATTTTGCAAAAAAAAATCCTGTGAGCAGTGAGTTTTTACAATACTCAGTAGATTTAAGCAGTGAAAAGGACTATCCAATGCCCACTATAAAAATTGAATAAAATATAAGCCAACCAAATTTTTAGGGTCTCATCTAAAAACTCAGTGTTGTAGACAGTCTTCTAAAAATGGACTATAATATGCTCTAAAATACATAAGATTAATCAGCAAGATTACATAAACAACAGTGACATACCCAAGTGGGAAAGTGAGTCCTCTAATAACAAAAAGAGAAAAATAAGTTTTACTTAATCAACAACACTTTGAAAAGTGAGACAATAAAAAAATCTATGACATCTTTTTTCTTACATCATGGCATCTGATACAATTTTTATTGATACTATTGATAATTAAAAATAAAATAATAATTAGCTCTAAGAAGCACAGGAACATAAGGTAATTTTACGGGGAAAAATACTAAATTTCTTAGAAACACCAAGTGCTAAATTTAGTATTAACTAGAATGCCAACATGAATTGAGAGGAAAAAAGTACTCACTCCATCCAGCAGCACATAATCTAAAATTGGAAATAGCCTAGAATAAACTGCTGCTCTATTAACTGAGTCATTGCCTGTGGAATTTCCATTTCAGCTCTCTATTTTGGCTGATTTCCTCGTAAACAAACATGTGACCAGCTACTTTCTTCCACATCCAGTGTAATGTAGTTTCACACTGACTGCAGCATAAACAGGAAAGGGAAATAGGTCCTGATAAAGATTAATAATTTCTTGGTTTTATCCCAAAGTTAGAATGCTTGAAGAGTTGAAATGTCTGTTTTTGCTACCATTTGTAGTTATTTTGCATCTTGAAAACAGTGTTGCTTGTCCCTAGAGTTTTATTTTGCTATGGTGCACTTTGTTCCCCTTTCCAAATGTATTAAGCTACCTATATTTAATTCAGAATCTTAAATGCTTGCTTGATGATTACCCTGACACTTACCACATGATTGGTGAATTCTCAGGGTTCTCCACGCAGAATTCCAGCTCTCAGTCCTAAATATCACATTAAATTTATGTACCCTTCTTTTCAACTAGTGTACTTGCATGAAATAATTACTTTCTAATTAAAGTCTGTGGGTTTTTTTTTTTTTCAGAAAATTAAGTTTTCTTTTGTGTCTAATATGATTTTATTTAGCTTAATGCCATTTATTTGCATGCTAATTCATTTGAAAATTTTATTTAGCTTAATGCCATTTATTTTCATGCTAATTCATTTGAAAATAAACAATTTCAAAATATCACTTTCAGATATATGTATGCATGTATGTGTGTGTATGTGTACATTGATGAACACTGACTATATCCAGAATTCTAATCTAGAATAACTAAAAATAAAGCAAAATTTAAAATTTATTTCCCAAAGGATTTTGCTGTAATTATTTAAGCTACCATTCAAAGTTCTGTGCAAATTTTAATTTAGGATAGTTTACCCTAACTGCTGCATCCCAGATTAAATTTTAGATTCTCCAAATTTTTTGAAACAGTTTTTGATAATATGTGCTTTGAGTTTTTCCTCAATGCTATAATCCACATTCTGAGAATGGCAACTGCTATTCTATTTAAATCTGTATTATTCCAAAATGTAAACATTTAGAACTTGATTATATATTATTTTCATTACCTAATTTTTTCTTTGTCTATATCTTAATGTGTATGAGCACAAAGACAGAATTTGTCAATTATGTGCTCAAAAATACTTGTTTAAATGAATTGATTAAATAGACTTTTGTGTTATAATTTATAGTGTTTCACACAGAGTAAGGACTCAGTAATTGTCAGCTGCTTAATAAGCTGGTAACAAGAGATATTCCCAAGGGATTCACATCCTACTAGTGTTCTTAAGAATCATTGACTACTGTCCATGGTTAGGATTATTTCAACTAGTTTTTAAATGGTTTATTCATTCTCTCCTTATTCACCTTTATTAATATTTGCTTATGTTGAAAACAAAAAACATGGAAGAAAGAAATCCAACAAAAATGTGAACAATGTGATAGGAAACTATGTGGAGGCTTACTTTTTATGATGGAAATATTTTAAAATATAACTTATTTACTCTCACTTTTTCTTTGGACTCCATTCCTTCTGAGTTATCACCAAGAGTGGTAAGGGTAACAATAAAAAGGACAAAATATTTTGGGATAATAGAGGATGTTATCCTGTGACTGAGTTCTCATATTGTATCAGTCAATGACATAGGGGGTTATTAGGAAAGAGCCCCAAAGATCACATGGAAGTTAGTTTTAGACAATCCTAGTCCTGTCTCTTCCAGTCTGAGAAAAATGCAGGTAAAACTTAATCTAACAAGGTTTATATTGAGGAAATATTGAAATGGATGACTAAACTGCATCTCCCAAATTATAGAGAAATGATTTATTATATTACTAAATACCATAAAGTATCTGTGGAATATCCAAAGTAGGGAAGCGATTATTGTATAATCCACAATATGTATAGAGTAGGTAACTATAATTTATCACTTCCCAGTAATTAAACATGCCTTAATCATCTTTCCATAGGTACTCCTGAAAAGATTTCAATACCCTTCTTGTTCATGATAATGAAATGTAATTTTTACAGTCTCCAAGAAATCCCTAGTCATTTCTGATCTTGCTTTTATAAGATTTATTTTTTTATTTTAGAGAGTGAAAGAGTACAAGCAGGGAGGAGGGTAGATGGAGAGGGAGAGAGAAAATCTCCAGCACACTCCCTGCTGAGCACGCGGAACCTGATGTGGGGCTCGATCTCATGACACCAAGATCATGACCTGAACAAAATCAAGAGTCGGTCAGTTAACCAACTGAGCTACCCAAGCACCCCATCTTGCTTTCTTTTTCTGATGGATGTCTCATATATTCAATGAGTCACCAAGTTATATTTGTTTCCTCAATTTGGGAATATCCCTAATTAAGCTCTCACTTCCTGCCATGATTTCTCTTCAGGTCCTCATCACAGCACTCTGAAATTATTTTACAATAGACTCCTAAATGATTTTATCTCCCCCCCATCAAATCTACATTATGTATTTCTACTATATTAAACTTTCTATTTATTTATCACTTGACTTCCTTTCTTAAATATCTTCACTGGGTCTTAACCATGCCCATAATAAAGTCCTATCCACTATGACTGATTTTCATAGCTCTTTAGAGTTAGGCTCCCTACCGGCAGTCTAACCCTAACACCCAGAACTTACCAAACATGAGCCCTGAACTAGATTGTCTTTCCCAGTGTTGTGTGGCCTATTCCATTTCAAATTCTTTCTTGTGCTTTTCTCCCTGGCTAGAATTCATCTACTCTCTTTTCAACATAACTAAATCTAACCATCCATTAAAGCATAGATACTGCCCCTCCTTTTCCTCCAAACCATTAACTTGGTGTCTGAAATCATGTGTCCTGGTATTGTTTAGTTGTGAAATATTTAATATGTGAATTCCTATGTCCTTTCCAAAATTGAGATGTGGCTTACATTTTACTCCTCTTATCTATATTCCTAGTACTCTACCTTGTATTTTTTATGTACTCAGTAAATTAACTTGAAATATACTGTGAGGTTCCTAGCTTAAAAACTGTTACCAAAGACCCAGATCTGACAAATATAAAAATTCATTTGTAGTATGTGCTTTGCTCTTTAGATGGAGTTGTGTTCTAACAAAGAGTTTAGATAATCTGTTCTCTAAGTCCCCAACACATTTTATTTTAATTGCCAAGAAAATCTTTTGTTCAAAAGCAATATATACACAAATTTCAGTTCAGCTGTATATTTTAATTAGCACATATTTTGAGTGAACTGCATCTAAATTATCATCAAGTGGATCTGTTTGGTATCAATAATTACTAAGGGATTATGAGTATTCCCAAAAAGGGAGTTAATCAATGTTTAATCTGGAATCAAAGAATAGTCATGAATACCCTGTTATACCAAGTCTTTTTTTAATCCACAAAGAAAAGCGATCCTCATATTCTATCAAGTTTCACTTCTACTGAAGACTTTGAATTGTGCAATACTATAATGAAATAATGATAAAAATGTCAAGATTAACATATTTTAACTCATGATGAACATGTTCAACAGAGTTCCCTGGATGCAAACCTTTCTGCAAAGCATTTTGTTACTGTTTTCAATTGGCAAAATTTTCATAAACCAAGGATTTAAGAGGCATCGTGAGGCAAATGAGAAAACATTGAGTCATGTCCCATTATTTTTTTTAAAATGGCATATTTATGCCGACACTAACAGAAATGTAGCCATTACGTTTGTAGTCACACTTCTGACTATAATGTCATGCCATTGTCACCATCATACTGGGAAAATGGTATTGGAAAAGAAATTTTTTGAACAAATTGATTGAAAGAAACTGTGTGAGACCACAAAAAATTACAAGATATTTTAGCTTCAAGAAAGTAAAATTTGTCCATTGAAAATTCCACAGAGGGGCTCCTGGTGGCTCAGTGGGTTTAAGCATCTGCCTTCAGCTCAGGTCATGATCTCCAGGTCCTGGGATGGAGCCTTGTGTTGGGCTTCCTGCTCAGCAGGAAGTCTGCTCCTCTCCCTCTCTTTTTTTTTTTTCTCTCTCTCCCTCTGCCCCTCCCCACTACTTGTTCCCTCTCTCAAATAAATAAATAAAATATTTTTTTAAAAAAAGAAAATTCCACAGAATATAATAGATCTAATGGTAGGACAGAGGATCGAGGGATTAAAGAAACAAAATGAAATAATTTTAAAATATTCTTATGGTTGTATATATTAACAGATGCCTATAACCTGCATGTTTACCTCAGGCCTCATATTCCTATCTGTAGGAAAAGAAAAAAAAATCTATTTAAGAGGACTTAACTAATGACAACACATTTCCAAAATGGGCTTAAAATTTTTCCAAAGTGCTGAGACAGAACTGTTAAATGGTTAGAAACAATCATACTCTGATCACTTTGTTGAGTTACAAATTTATGTATATACTTCTTGCTTTTTCACTGAATGAGCACAACCAATTTAAAAACCAGAAAGATAGTACAGTTGCATTTCAAAGTGGCAAATTATAAAGTGCACTACCAAAGTGCTGTAACTGTCATCCACACACATCTACATGCAACCAGTAATGGGTTAGAATGTTTCAGAGCAACTAAGAGTGTTTGCTAGCAGAACAACATGGTGAAAAAATTTAGAAACGTAAAAGAACATGTCTTATGAAAACCTTACATAAAAATATCCCCATTATCATTTGATTTATATGGAAACACACTGACATCTAAATCCAGAAAATAATTTTGTACTGCATACTCAGACTTGCAGTAAATACTGTGACTAAAAAATGGGCCATGAGGGGAATGGCTGAGAGATGGTGACCATGAAAATGACCTGTCTAATTAAAATTTAAAAAGAAGAGATCATGACATAGACTGAAACGCACATGTTAGAGAACTGGTTGGAGAAAGAGCAGAGCAGGCAGAAGGGAACAAACATCAATTACAGTGGAACAGAAAAAGTGGTTATAAATAAAAGTAATCATGAAACTCAGAAGAATAAAATGGGAATTGATAGATATATATGTATATATATAATAAATATAAAATTCATTTATACTGTGAGTTAGGTAAATTTTAATTTTTAATATTATAAGTTATAGTTAAAATTTTGCCACAACTATCTCACAATATTGTGAGGCTCAAATACAAGTTGTGAAAGTGCTACATAAACTATAAAATGCTATACTCACGTAAGACAAACAATATTTACTCAAAATGCAAATGAAACCTCTCATTCCAACTCAGGGAGAAGGCAAGCAATGAGCTCTCTGGGACACAGAGGGTGAAAATGTCACTCTGATCCATTCTCAGATTTTCTTGGAATCACAGGCTCTATATATTCACTCTATGGGCTGGCTTTGAATGCAGAGCAAAGATAATATAATTCAGACTAATGGACCTGGGGGCAATGTTACAGACGAAATGTATGGAGAAAAATCCTTCTTAATTTGTGGAAGAAAGATATTCCCTTCCTGCTTCTTAACGTTCATAAACCTTTTTGCCTGCACAAACGTCATATTTAATTATGCTGATTTCTCCTCTTTAAGGAAGGAATGAGAGGGGCAGGAGAGGTGATAAAAATTCACTAAAACATGCCAAAACACATAACATTCTATGCCCAAAACTAACTCCTAGGATAGAGAAGTAAGTCTACAATGCACCAAATGAACTGAAGCTTACTGATGCTAAATGACTTATATAAGGCCACTTATTCACCACCAAATCAATATTTCTGGGTCTGAGTCATATCAAAGCTCTGGCATGTTCTACAACACAGGCTTCCATAAAAAAAAAGAAGAAGCTAGAAAGATAAGGAGGTAAGCAGAACTAACCCATATTTTTAGCTTTCTTTTTTTAAGCTCTAACACTAGATTTTAGAAATATTTTGACATTCTGTAAAATTTCCATTATAATTTTAAAGTTAAACACCAGTTCCACATTCTCTGATCATTAACTCTCAATGCATTTTCATTACATTAGAAGCGCATGCAATAGTTAATCATGGTAAGATTTCCTAAAATTTTCAAGAAAGAGCACAAAATCATTAAATACAGAGTTAAAAGACCTTAGAAACAATCTATTCAAACCACCTCATTTTATAAATAAGGAAATTAAGGCTCAGATAGGTTAAGTGACTTACTCAGGGTCACACAACTTGACAGTTCCAGAGTCAAGATCATAAATTAAACATTTAGTCCAGAATAGCCTAAAAATTGAGTGTAATTCATAAGAATAAGCCACGTGGCAAGGAATTAATAGTTCATACCAAAAATGAGCTGCCAGTCACTGTGATAAGATCTGTTTCTTTCTGAGAACCATGGTTTCCTGCTGGATTGGAGAATCCAAACTGGGTTTCTTCCTCCTGTCCAAAGAAGTCAGAGTCAGGATGTACATTCCATTCTGCTTTGGTTGGCGGCAGTAGTTCTGAGACACTGTTTTCACAAAGGGTGCTTGAAGGAGTCAGAGCATCTGTGTCCACTGTTAGCTTACTGCTGGGGGTCAAAGCTTGGGGCTCTTGACTTGAGTTTTTCATAGCCAAAGAGCCCAGAGATGCCAATGGCCCCACACTTAGACTTGGGACATCATCCATATCTAAGGGACTCTGCTGAAAACCAGAGGCTGTCGTTCCAAAAAAGAGAGAGGTATCCAGACTTTGAGGAAGGTCACTGGTGGCCATCAAGGCCCGAGGGTCCACAGCCTGCCCTAAGGAATTATTACTATTAGCAGGGAGGCTCCCTGCCAGAGTTGAACTCACAGAAGCCACATCAATAGTCAAGATTCCAGAGTTCACCAATGCTGTGTCCAGCACTGCAGCAGAACTACTGCCAGGCACATCCGAGAAGAGAGACACTAGCTCTGCATCACTGAGATCACTCTGTCCCTGGCTGGTAAGTTCACTGCTGGGCGTAAGAGAATTCGCAGCTTCTAGCTGAGCTAAGAGATCCTGGCCGAGGTTGTGCCTTTTGGTCATGTGGGTCTTCATGCTGTGCTTGGATGTGAAGAGTTTATTACAAGTAGAGACTGGGCAACGGCTTTTCCAAGTGTCCACGTCCTGTAAGTGTTTCTTGGAGTGGATGTAGAGACTACTGCGAGCAGAGAACCTGGCACAGCAGCCTTCCACAGGGCACACAAAAGGCTTTGTGCCCAGGTGGGTTATGCTGTGGCCTTTCAGATGCTCAGCCCTTGTGAAAGATTTCCCACAGCCTTCCACAGGGCACATGAACCTCCGGTCATCCTCGTGCTTCCTTTTGTGCCTTAAGAGTTTGGACATGCTGGTGAAGTTCCAGCCACAGCCGTCAAAGTCACAAAGGAAAGGTCTCTCACCGGTGTGGCTCCGCAGGTGAATTTTCAGGCGACAAGCCTTGTCGTACTGTTTGCTGCAGCCAGGAAAAGAGCAGGAAAAGAGTTCCTGTTCCCTGAAATGGGCACGGTTATGGGAAAACAGGGCACTCACTGTGATAAACGTCTTCTTGCAGCCAGAAAACGCGCACTGGTATGGCCTCTCAGGCTCGAAATGGCTGCGCTGGTGGGCGCTGAGTTTGGCCTGAGTGGGGAAGCTCTCCTCGCACACCTCGCATTTGAACGAGTTCTCCTGCTCATGGCCCTTCATGTGCGCCTTGAGGTTATACACCGTGGTGAAGCTCTTGCCACAGCCCTCCGCAGGGCAGCCAAAGGGCCGCAGTTTGTCGTGCGACTGCAGGTGCCTCTTGAGCTTGTAGGAGGTGGTGAAAGTCCAGCCACAGCCGCCCAGGGGGCACTTGAAGGGCCGCTGGCCCTGGCTGCTGCTGTGAGTCAGCAGGTGCACTTTCAGCTGGTGCTTCTTGGCGAAGGTTTGTCCGCACTGCGCCTCGGGACACAGGTACAGCACCACGCCCGGGCCTGGGCCCAGCGGCCTGCGGGGACTCTCGGCTGCGGCTCGGCCCTCTGCCTCCTCCTCAGGCGCGGGGGCGGGCGCCGGTTCAGCTGGCTCCGCCAGCAGGAGGTCGGGCGGCAGCTCGGGGCAGTCGCTGGGCTGCGCGGCGTGCGGGACCCCCGCTTGCGGAGCCATCAGACCCCCAGGCTGAGGGGCAGGCGCGACCCCAGGCTCCCAGGCCGGCGGCGGGGGCGTGGCCAGGGTGAGGACACCGTTCTCGAAGCGCAACAGCAGGTTTTGGTTGTGGATGGTGACGGTGCCCGTGAAGGCCGCGGCGGGTCCCAGGCCTGGGGCGGGGATCGGGTTTTCAGCCGGGGATGGGGCGGGGATTGCGGACAGGCAGCGGGGGCCTAGCGCCTGGCGGCCCGCGGGATTCGCGCCGTTCTCACCCTGCTGGAGCTGTGGGACCGACTCGGCCTCCTCCCTCCATACAGGCCCTGCGGCCTGGCCGGCGCCCGTGGTCTCCACATCGCCACCCGCCGGGTCCAGCAACACCAGGAAGAAGTCATCGCCGTCGCCGTCGCCGCCGCCGCCGCCGCCGCCAGCGTGATCCGACCTCGGCGCCAACGGGCTCGGGCCCGGGCCCCGTGAGGCCGCTCTGGCCTCCTCGTGCCGCCTCCCGGGCCCGCCATCTTGGGGGCCCCGGAGCAGCAGGAGGCGGCGCGCGGGGACCTGGCCAGCCCGCGGGTCAGGGCCGCCGTGGAACCGGCTGGCGCCCGCGGGGCTGCCAGCACCGCCGCTCTGTCGTGTCCCTCGAGGCGGGAGCAGCCTCGGGCTTTCCATCTCCGCGTCGGTGAGGCTCCACTGGAACCAGAGCCACGGAGGAGGCGCGACCCCGCCCCCTGCCGCGGGCCTGAGCACGTTCCTGAAAGGAAAAAAAAAAAAAGTGCAATGCGCAGAAACTGGCCCTATCAGATATTAAAACGTGTTTAACGACACAGTGATTTAAATATTCTGGTCCTGGGTCTCTGGGACAGAATAGAAAGCCCAGAGGCAGAGCCTGGTATGCACAAATAAGTTCTACATTCAATATTTGTAGGAAATCAAGGACGTCTTCCCAGATAATGGGGAAATGAAAGTTCACCTGGTAAATGGTGCTGGAATACCTAGCAATCTATCTGCTAAATGCAACTTAAATCTGTACATCACTGTATATACCAAAATAAACACCCTCAGCCCCTCCCGGTGGTAAGCATGGTGATTTTTTAAAAATTGTTTACTGGATGGCTGCCTGGCTGGATTTATCAATCCAGTGAGAGAAAATTCCTGGGACAATACACTATGTGTCAACATTAAACTACCATAGTGCTAGCAAATTATGCTGAAAATGATTTTTTTTTTTTTTCCTGGACAGCTTCCATATCCAGAACTGTCTTGAGCAAGGTCCTCAGGAAAATTTGTTTTATAGTTATTTATTTATTTATTTATTTATTTATTTATTTATTTATTTATTTATATTTTTTGCCTGCTGATACAGAAATTAGAATGAGTAAGAGGTGGAGCCAAAACAGATTACCACTGTTCAGCCTAGAAGTGCAAAGCCTGGAAGATGAAACAATTTATATTGAATCCTGGAAAACCCACCCCACCCCTGGGTTCTTCTAAGACGGTGCACAAGCTAAACCAACTCTTTGCCATTACACCATGGTAAATTTCATGTCCAGTCCCACAGCATTCCTTAGCTAATTCTAGATTCTCCAGCACATGGAGGTCTCTGGACAGGAGTACCAGTTAAATGTGATAAGATTAAACCCTAAGTCACTGTTATGGACTCTGCTGAGAAAAATACCCATATGACCGTGTTCAATAGTCCTGGTGTGCCGCCTTGCATTTCAGTGTGGTGGCCCAATCTCACTGTAATGGATTTGGCCTGTGAAGCCTAATGATTGTATTAATGATGATGATGATCTTCTGACTTGTCTGTCATCTGTGATTTGGGAAATGATATAAATAGAGGGTGAAATATCTAGCAAGGGAAAGGTTTAGGGTAATGACTAGATTATGGGGTGCATATAGTTTAAATAATCCCCACTCCCCCCTTTTTAGTGATAACGTATACTTGCGGAACACTTGATAGAAAGAAAAAGTTTTTCATCCCTAATACTCTAAACCTCATCAAAATTTTTACTTCACATATTTTCCTTCCATTACATTTTTTTGCAGGAAGCCATATTTAAAATCTGAGGTATAGAGGAGTGCATGAAACATATCTGCCAGGTTTAGATAATTTGTAAAAACAAACACCCGTGTAACTAGGAGCCAGGTCAAGAAATAGACCATTGCCAGCTTTCCAGAATACAGACACTGTGTTCCTCCCAATCACAACCCACACCCTTTCTTAGAGATATAGTCATTATCCTGACATTGTGAGTATTTCAGTGTTTTTCTTTATAGCTTTACCACTTGTGTACACATCCCTAAATAATACCATTTATATGAATTTATATAAATAAATCATACTGCATGCTTCCTCTGATGGCTTGCTTCTCTCACTTGTATCACTTATTTGAGAGATTCATCCATGTTTTTCAGAGTAGCTATAGATTCTTTGTCTCCATTGTTCACTAGCCTTCCAGTGTATAATTTTAGTGAAGCAATCATGAATTGATTGAACATCCAATTCTACAGTGGATGGGCACTATGGTTGTTTCTAGTTTGGGACTATTAGTATTAACAATGCTGCAGTGAACATTCTTGGACATTTCCCATGGAATACATGTGTAAAAGTCTCTTGGGTCTACCTCCAAAAATAGAATCACTAGGGTATGAATATCCTCAACTTTTCTAGATGATGCCAAATTGATTTCTGTAGTAGTTGTGCCAATTTACAGTCTCACCAGTAGCATAGAGAGTTCCTGCTGCTACACTTCTTCACCTACACCAAGGATTGTCAGAATTTACTTTTTTTTTTACTATTACTAGTAAGCTTTTGCATATTCTCATATTTATGAGCCTTTTGGATTTTCTCTTCTGTAAAAGGACTGTTTAAGTTTAATTCTGTCAGCCATTCTTCTATTTTCCATCTACACTTATTCATTTATTGAGTTCTTTACGTATTTTAAATACTAGTCCATTGATTATATGTGTGGTCAAAATATTCCCTTGCTTTGTTGCTTGAATTTTCACTTGATTTATGCTACACTTTGCGATCATATGCTATACAGTCAAATTTATCTTTCTTTTCTTTATTATTAGTGCTTGTCTGTTTTTAGAAATCTGTCTCTTCCTTGGGGCTATGAACATATTCTCTGTATTGTCTTCTAAAATATTTACAGTTTTACCTTTCACAGGTAAGTCTTAATCCCCCTACAAGTGATGTTTATGTATGGTGTTGAGTAGGGTTCTGGTTTCCTGCCCGCCCCCCCCCCCCCCCCCGCGCTTTGGATATCTGATTGTCTCAGTAAACCACGTTTGAAAAGTCTGCTTTTTTTCCAACTTATTTACAGCAACACGTGTCATAAATCAAGTGTCTATGTATATATGGGCTAGTTTCTATACACTCTAGTAAATACCATGGCTCTTTTTATTTATTTGAAATACCACATATCAGTATTAATTGCTACAGATCTGAAGTCAATCCTGTTATTTGGATAAGGCCAGTCCATTCTACTTTGTTCTTTGAAGGTGTTTTGTTATTTTTAGCCCGTTTTGACTCCATTTAGATGATCAATTCATTAGAATTTCAACCAAAATCTTGTTTGAGATTTTAATTAAGATTGTGTTGAACTTTTAGATTTGACGTCTTTTCAATATTGAGTGTTTGTTTTTTGTTCTCTCTTTTAATGATTAAAGCAGCAGGACTGTCCATTTCAGTACTCAAAGATAGAAAAATTTGGAGTGGGGGTGGCCCTCTCAAAGGCTGGAGTTCACACCTCACTGGAGAAAGTATAGGAGAACCTATTGGATGGCAGAGAAATTTGCTGGTTTGTGGGCACCAGAGCTGGTTTGCAGAACCAGAGCTGGGCTACAGTTGCAGGGTGAGCAGGAAGTAACACTTTGGAACACATCAGTGTAGACAAGTGACTAGTGGCTAGTGTGTGGGCATGTAGTAGGAATAAGGATGCTGGTGGAGTTGGAGGCCTGGAGCCAAAAATGTCCTGCATGCAGGATTAGAAGGGCTTTGGTGTTGGGAGGGCTACAGCACTGGCAGAACTACAGATGATAAACCTGTTGTTGGGCAGGGGGCGGGTGGGGGGCAGTAAAGAAAGCAAGCAGAGAGAATCAGTGGGCAGGTGGTTTGGAGCACAGGATGTCTCTGTGAAGAAAGTCATAGCAAGCCAATCAGCAGGCCACACCAGGATTGTACATTCAATGAGGAGTTGTTCTTGGCTCATGCTTGGGGCAGAGCACTGAGGATATCCTCACACACACACACCTCTGACAACCAGAAATAACAGGAGAGGCATTTTCTTCAATGTCCCTCCAGTGTCTTCTCCTGAGAAAATAAAACATTGTGTCACTTTGAAGGAGAGATACTTAAAAATTGTGTCTATTATCAGAGAGCATGTTTTGATGGGTGAATTTAGAGTAGAGAGGCAATACTTTAATAATTGGCTTCAGGGGCGCCTGGGTGGCTCAGTCTGTTAAGTGTCTGCCTTCAGCTCAGGTCATGATCTCAGGGTCCTGAGATCAAGCCCTGCATCTGGCTCCATGCTCAGTGGGGAGTCTGCTTCTCCTTCACCTTCTGCCCCTCCCCCTGCTCATGCTCGCTCTCTCTGTCTCAGTCTCTCTATCTCAAATAAATAAGATCTTTAAAAAATTTAAAAAAAATAATTGGCTTCATGTCCTTTGTCAGTTTAAGGGATTCACTTCTATTCTTAGTGTGCATGAATAGCAGGCAACTTACCTGCCACGGTTATTATTAGCTCACCCAAGGAATAGTATCATTCTGTTATTTCTCTGGTAAATTAATGATTAAAGCAGCAGGACTGTCCATTTCAGGAGGTTTAATAGATTGCTTAGGATTCTTGGTGGACCCAGGCTTCCCTGGCCTGAACTGAGCTTTGCTGCAAAACCCAGGCTTTGGCACAAGGGGTTGTCATGGAGCTAGGGCAGAGAGCCTGTGAACCCTGAATTCTAGTCCTACCCCGGGCTTGTCTGCTTCACCTGTAAGGAGAATATAATAAGGTGAGATTGCCTTGAGAATAGAGTACTTTATACCTTAAATGCTGCTCTGCATTCCTGGTAGCTGCACTTAAACTAAACAAGGAGAAAAGGTGCTTGGATTTCATTTAAAATCATACCCAGGGGCGCCTGGGTGCCTCAGTCGTTAAGGGTCTGCCTTCAGCTCAGGTCATGATCCCGGGGTCCTGGGATCGAGTTCCACATCGAGCCCTTGCTCAGCCGGGAGTCTGTTTCTCCCTCTCCCTCTGCTTGCTGCTCCCCATGCTTGTGTTTGCTCTCACTCTCTCTCCTTGTCAAATAAATAAATAAAATCTTTAAAATCATGCCCAACAGAGCCCTGTCCATGGAGAAGCAGGACAGAAGATTCCTGTGTTATACTTACAAAGTGTATATATTTACCATTGTTTATAATGTGTGTGGTTCCACTGTACTTATCTCAACTGGTTTTAGGCTCTAAAGTGGACAAAAACTGATGGAGAAAATGGCACATATTTTTACCATTCTTAAGTGGTAAGCAAAACATTCTGTAGTGATTGACTTGTAACTTATATTGAGGAGAAACATTTTAATTTTAAAAAAAAGCTTTTTATTTCTGTGTGCCTATATTTAATAGAATTAGATAACACTAAATCAGGAGAAAAATATTTTAAATGTTGCTCATTCCTGCACTCTTGTACTCTCTTCCTAATACTACCAGTGTGTTAAGCATATCCACCTCTTGGGCTCAGAAACCACACAAGA